TCTGACTTTCTTCTGCTTTCATTTAATGTTTCAATGTAGTGTAACAATTTGTAGGAAGAGACAGAGGGCAAAAACAGAGCTGCCACATTTGAGAGCTGAAAACTGTAATGAGCTAGTCATGATGTATTCAAATGCGATTTTTAAGGGAAGAATCATGTTTTAAAATAAGTCTGTAAAATTGGCAACTTTGCATTCAACAGATCTGGCTCTGAGCATCCAGCTCTACTGGCACAATGGTTATGCTCCAAGCAAGGTGTATTAAATAAATATTTGGACATAAAAGCTGATACAAGTTACAAAAAAAAAAGTTCCAGAATATAAGTACATTAATATCCTAAATCATTTTTATTCTGACAGATTTATGATTGTTTTTTCCTATCAGCTGAAGGAACAACACAGAACTAAGAAGCACTACCACTCTCTGGTAACATATTAAGATTAGCAGAGAAATTTAAATTCTTCTCCTGAAATGAGCAACCACACCTCCATGATATGGTTGGAAGGCCCGTCCTTTTCTTCTTCCTGAACGGATACACTGTCTTATGCTCATATCACAATTGCTTGTCCACAGAACCAAGACATCAGGGAGAAAGTCAAACAGATCATCCTCTTCTTTGCATAGGATAAACCAAGAAATTTATTAATGAGTTTTTTATTATGAATTTTTTCCATGTCAACTTCACTAACCACAAGAATTGCCAAGTTAAAAAATGAAAGTCAAAGGACACTGGAAAAGTAAGAGCTGCATTTGCCCAGCAAAATTTTATCATCGATGATGGCAAAAATATTCAGCTTGATTCCTAGATGCTGATAGAATTAGCACGAAAACACTCCAATGGGAGAAAGAAGAGTTGTAACGTATAAACTAGGCACTTCAATCCAAAGAAAGAAGCAATTAATATCCTCTCATGGCTGTTCCTTGTCAGAGCAGTACTAAACTAGTCAAACAGCTTCACTCAACAGGCCTGTTTTCCATGTAGTCCAACTGAAATGAAAGGGACTTTTCCAGCAGTAGTGTCACCATGAGAAAAACCACAAGATTATTTACTAGGTTGGGGGGGAGGGGTTTATTTGTTTGTTTGTTTTTTAACAAAATAACTCCAAAACTCTATTTGGCCTCTGCTTTTGAAAAGTTCCCATCATGAATGCTGAATTCCATTAATTTAAAAAAAAAAAAAACCAAAAAGCCCCCCGACTTCTGATCTTTGGCATTGTTCAAATTCTGAACCCAAAGCAACTGAATTCTCTTTTTGGTACTTACTGACTGCCAGAAGTAATTCCAGGAATCTGGAAGTTATTACAAAAAAAACCAAAAAGCCCCCCGACTTCTGATCTTTGGCATTGTTCAAATTCTGAACCCAAAGCTGAACTGAATTCTTTTTGGTACTTACTGACTGCCAGAAGTAATTCCAGGAATCTGGAAGTTATTACTTGGCAATGTAGTATTGTTATTTTACATTTACCCAAAATACAGTTGTATTTTTCAGGAAGTCCTATGTAACTACTGCATTTCAAAATGCACCACTTACTATAACAAGTTCATCTGTTCTGTAAGGTGTAACAGCTAACACAGCCCTGGCATGAGAATTTCAGCATGAGAAAGTGTAGACAATGGGGGAATAAGATGTATTGCATTTAAATCTCATGGGGATTGAGCACCATATATCTGACCCAGCAGCTAGAGAAACAGCTGAAAACAGTACCGTGCAAAGAACAGCTCCTGCAACAGCACTGTGCCATTTATACATTTTAAATGTAATCTGGTTGATTATTTCATATTTTCATTCTGATTTATTTTATGGAATCAGAGATTTTGGAATGCTTCAGACCCTTCCTGGGTATACTATCACAATTCAGCATGCTTTAGCTCACCACTACAAAAGTAGCAGAAGTGCAAGGATCAATAATCACTTAACAGGTTGTAAAAACATAAGAGGTAAAAAGGAAAGGAATATGGGAAACAGGAAATAGTTTATAGTCAGCACATGTTTTTTTTTAATCGCAAACAGTGTCCTTGCTTCCCATTTTAACTCGATGGGTCACATTTTCTACTGTCAAAATAGACATGACTTCACTAAACTTGTGGAACTAATCCATTTTATCCTAGCAGAAGATATGTCCCTAGACTCTTGATTTGATGCCGTGAGAACAAAATAAGGCCTTATGTGACCAAGTAATTAAAACCAAGCCACTTTAAAATGTTCAGTAAATACAGTAAATCTGCTTATGCTGACAAGATATTAAGTTGCTTGCAAAAATGACCCTTATTTATGCACTTTCAGAGATGTCTGAAGAAGACGAATTGTATTGTTTTACTTGTAAAATTTGCTGTCAGAATTACATGTTGGCTTACAGGCATGCTTATTATTTGAGTCTAGTTTAGGTGCCTATTTTTAAATATTTTTCATAACAGAATTATTCTAATTATCCTGTGTCTCTGTTGAATCTATGTTCTTTGAGAGACATTGTTATATAGAAGGCATTGAATATGCTGGAATATCTCAAAGGAAGATGGACAGTTATTAGTTAACTTTGGATGACTTCAAAGACATTGACAGATACTATCAACTTTAAATTAATTAAAGTGCTAGGTACTGACATTCTTTACTCTTAATAAAGCGTATATTCTGTGTCTTTATCAGTTATTACTAACATCTTCATACCACCTTTATAGGAGCATTAACATTCAGGATATTGAGTTTATTGTACTGTAACGCAAATACTGCTGGTTGTCTGTTGTGTCCTCTTCACTTTCACGGATCTTCACTTTATCATTAAATTAATGGTATTGTTGGTGTTAGATCTAACATTAGAACTGCTGCTCTAAGAAACAATTCTCTCAAAAACACACACTTCTGTTTCAGATCTCAAAAAGAATGTACAGTACTATCAAAATCAACTGGACAGTATATTTAACCAAAATAGTATGATGTACTTGTCACAGCATGTAGGCCTAATGCACTCAGCATCAGGAGATTCTACAAAAATTTTGTTCATCAGCCTATACATCTAGCTGCATACAGTAACTGCTTTTCAGAATACCATCAGGTGGCGAGTAGAATGAGTGCATTTTACTTCTAGCTGAAAGCAAAGAGAGTAACAGTGTCATGGTACATTTTAATACCAGAATCCTAATAGCAGTAGAGGTGAGTGGTTACCAAGTATGCCAGTAACATTAGATCACGTGATTACATATCATGTTGCGTACAACTTTTTTTAAATGGAAGAAGAGGAATGTAGGAAACTATAATTCTGAACAATACTTTGCCTTCTTCTTTAACTTGAAATACAAATGAATTCATTGCTATTTACTTTAAACAGATGTTATGTACATATGCACCCATCCAGACATACATAAATAAATATCATATAGTTTAACCTATGAGATAATCTGTGAACTTCTAAAATGTTTTAACATTGATTTGTAAATCGAAAAATTTCACTGTATTAAAACTCTCTGTAGGATGCAGGGTCAAGTATTCTATTCCCAGAATCTTATAAAGATTATTATCCACAATATCATCAGACTAACTAGTGGTTATACTGACCACTTTACTAGTCGTACACCATAGGAGAGATGTTTCTCCATTCTAAATAACTGATCAGCAACAGTAACTTCCTGATGTTCCTATTAAGGTTCACCATTCTTCTTTTATTCATACATAAATCTTTAAGAATATTATCTTTACTCCACATGGCTTGAATTAGTTAAAATCTCCTATCAGATATCATCACCTAGTTTCATGGCTAGTTAAAACATGGGGAAGAGCATGGAGATGACTTCAAAGAAATTCAGCACATGATTTAAGTAAAAGTATGTACCTTGCCTTCTGAAAGAAAATTTTCATCTAGAAAATCTAGTATCTAAATTTTTATGTAGTCCTGTTAAATGAATCATGTTAAATCTCTGAGACATAGAAAAGCATGCCATAGGCTAAATGTGGTTTACAAATGTGGTATTTATTTTTTGATTCCTTCTGCAATAAGGATGCTAATTTGAAAGACTATAGTGGTACAAGCAAAACAAATAAGGAAAATTAAAGAGCAGTGTGTTACTGTTTCAGTCGCCACTTGCTAGTACACCTTTCAAATAAAATACAACTTTCATTTGTATATCCTGTTTTATGTACTGAAAAACTGTAATTTTTCTTTTCCGTAGCTTTTTGATATTTTTGTTGCCACTATCCTTCTTCAAGGTGAAAAAAGAAAAAGCAAATAACTCGCAATGACAACTATTTCTATATTGTTTTCTGTCACTGCCCTTCTGTATTCTACCCTTTCACCCTTCTCAAGCCAAACCAATAGGTCCTTTTGCTTTTGAAGCAGAAGTTTCTATCTCTTGCCCAACCTTCTCTACATCCATATAATGCCAGGCTGTCAAATAAGGCCAGCTATTCCTCTTTATTTCCCATTGATATGTGAAATCCAAAGGTATTCTATTGTGTGTGTTTTCAGAATGAGTAACAAGTGAAGCATATCAACATTTTTTGCCCAAACTGCAGAGAGACTTTTTTAAAGCAATGTGAAGGGATTTAGATGCATGACTTCCAATTACCTTAATGGCAGCCATCTGGTTCAACATCAATACATCACACTGAAATTTTACCCCATGCTGCACATAAGTAATGGAGTAATTTACAATAGGCCATCTTTATTGGCCAAGAGCTAAGAAAGAATATTTTTGAAGGAGAAAACATTTTGCATTTATTCTACCATGGCCTCCATAAGAATATCTATTTTGTCTGGAATAAAAACAACAAACAGCAAAAATAAGTAGCACAAACCTCACTCCTCTGACCCTTGTTTTCTTTTCACTGTAAAAATAATCTTGTCAACAATATGGGCATGAATTTAAACTTGGGGAATCACACAGTGAAGGATACTGTTTCAGATTAATTTCAGATAATGCCTGAAATCTGTATCTCAGATTAAAACATTTCTCCCAGCTTGAGTCCAAGAAACATAGCAGGCTGTATCTTCAACAGCCGATGAAAACTCACCTTATTACAAAGTCATGGCTATCAATCTCTTTTCCACATCCACTGTCCAGAAGGATGCCAGAATTCCCAACAACAGCACACGTTTTAAATCGGCGATTCTTCATTGGGGAAACTTCAGGGAGAAGGCTGTGCAAATCCTGAGAAATGTTCAGGGTACGACGTCTGTCCAGTACATAATGGATTACATCTCCTGGCTTGAAGCTGCTTTTGACCACTGAGACATCTCTTTCAGCATCCAAGAATCGAAGAATGTTCTTTCTGGGTTGACAGAAAAATGCACAGATAAAACCCAACTCACTGGTCACATGGAGTTTATCTAAGAGTAATACAGACTGTACAGAGCATACAACATAAAGCAGAGGGTAGATAAAGCAGAGGGTAGATAGTGTCAGACAGGCTAAGGTCATTTCCCATGCTCTACGATGGAGTTAGAGCAAAGCTGTTAGGACAGAGTTCAAATCTGGGTTACAATATAACACGTAAATACTACAGTGATAGAGCATAATGACTTCTTACAAAGGCACTGAGAGACCAAGGGAGGATGACTTCGGAAATTAGAAGGCATACTATTTTTGAGTATTTTACAAAACTTTGGAGTAAACACATATTTGAAAAAGGACAAGAGCAGTTTGTTTTCATAGAAACATCATAAAAACATAGTTAAATGTATGAGGTATTTATGATTTAGGAAATAAATGCTTCACTACAATCTCATCTCTCGCAAATCAGCTTGGTTCAGGAATGGCCATGTTTTCTTATAGATTCTTATTTCACCATAAGAACAACATATTCAGTTCAGCATAAACTTGCTCCTAATTAACTGAAGTTCAGCCAAAGTTATCCTAATTAACTTGAAATAGGAACACCCACAGTCTTTTGTACCAATTTAAACCAAATCAGCTTAAAAACATACTGCAAATTAAACTACTGCAGCTCAGGGTCTAGTCAAGCTGTTAGCTGAACTCATAGAAACACTTATGAACTCTATCATCACTTTAAATGAGGTTAGTCCAATCCTTTACCTTGCTTCTCTGCAATTAATTCTTTAAACTATTAGCCGGGTTCAGACACACATGATCAAGACATGAGGGTTTAACAAGCTACCATGGGTCAAGTGAACTATGGTAATTAAACAGTTGTATACTGCCAGTCCACAGCAAGTATCAGATGAAGAATGTCTGCTTAAATGTCAGCTGAAGAAGTTAAGTCATGGTAATTGTACCCGCTTACGGGGGTGGGGGCAGGGGTCTAAAAACTGACACACTTTCAATACGAATTCAAAAAGACACTCTTAATGACTGCAGCTATGTAATGACTGATACCTGCACTGGCAGTGTCAAGCAGTTTTCAGTACACATTTATCCCTGGTATAAAAAGCTGGGAAGAACTCCAGGCCAGAACTGCAGGAGCCACTGGTAGCTCAGGATTGCAAATGAGCAAAGCCTTACAAGCTTGTGTCCACCCCTGCTCTGCAAAGCATGTACAAAGGTCTTTTCCAACCTAAATGATTCTATGGTTCTATGGTTCTATTTGTGAAAAGGCATAAAGATGACATCTGAACTTAAACATACGTAAGTACAATACACTTATGGAACAGACAGGGAGTGCTGAGCTGGGGCAGAGTGTTCACTACGTGTTAATTCGAACACAAACTTTTGCCTCTGCAACTCTAGCAAGACAAGAAGAAGAACAATAACTTTATATTTTCCACGGCTGTCAGCAGGTAAGGTGGAATTTAAAACAGAACAGACATTTTGTTGAGTAAGAGAATGCTATTTTTATGCAATAAATTTTTAGAGCAGGACTTCCTTAGAGCAGATCAAAACAGGAAAAGATAACTAGAGATGCCACTCTAGCAGTTGCAACACCCACGGAGAGACATAAAGGGGAAATAATCCCCCACAAGTGAAAAGGGATAAACTATAGGAACACCATGCTCACCAGCAGCCAGCTCCTGTGCCACTGCCTCAAGAGGGAAGAATATATCTGAAACTTGCAATCAGTGACACAAAATACTCACCCTGGAACCAACCTTAAAAGCCATAGAGGAAGTGAAACATGATAAAAATATTTTTTCAAGTGTTTGCTCTCATTTCTTAAACTAGGACCAAAAAAAAAAAAAAAAGAAAAAGAAAGAACGTCTTGGGCTGTCTGTTACAGCTGTCATGTATGAATGAAGCAGCATCAGAGCAAAGACAGCTTGTGCTGAGGCCTATGAGGGACTCAGAATAACGGAGCAGGATAGACAATGTTAAAATCCTGAGAGTCTAAAGCTTTTGGTAAGGCCAGGCAAGGTATTTCTGTAAAAGGAAGATGAAGACTCCACTTTAGCCTCTAAGTTGAATGGACTTAAAATCTCCATGGGTTTGATAAGCTTCATTTTGTGGGTACTCTGCAACAGATATATAAATTGCTACAAAATGAAAAAGAGCAAGAAAGAAGGAATTGCCCAATGTAGCAGTATTAAAAATGACCAGAATTCTTCATTACCTAAGAACAGAGCTACCAGACCTGTGCCTGTAAAGGACAAGATGAATGCATCAGAAGTTATCAATAGCATCAGCCAAGGTATCCACTCACTTCATATGCACTCTGACATGAGAAGGGGTGACCACAAATGAGTTTCAAAAAAGCAAAAGAAATTCTGTGAAATGTACAGAAATGTAGAAAGTCACGTGATCACCAGAAAATTCGCTGTAGTAATTTAAAGCACCCGTCCCTGATACCTAGAATGAATGGGCCTAATACTGTTTCTGTTAGCAAAAAAGTAGCAACATTTGTGCATGAAAAGAGTATCTTCTGTATTATTTTCAAACATAAGAGGAAGGCAGTGAAGTTATGCAAACAGTGCCAAAAAAATAAAAGTGACTTGGCTTCCATTATTAATTTGGTTACTTACAGTCAAAGCTTACTTATCTATGTGCTTACATATGCTCACAGAAGTCCTCCAAAGGGTTTCAAGTAGACCTGAATTAGACTTAGATAATCAACCACTTATTTAACAGAGCTGAAATTTCCAAAATGTCTAAGGAATTTATTTTTCTATAAAATTTTGAGATGGGCAAAAGTCACTGAATCTTAGTATCTTCTCACATATTTAAAAACGTTTTCTTATCCGAAGTTGTCAGTAGCATATTCAATTAAATGTATGCACAGGTATTACAGTACGCATAAGAAACCTTGTATAAGAGATGTGTAATAGTGCTAACTTTAAAATATTTTAAATGATACATCTGACTGTATCCAGATATCTTTTAATACTGAAAGAAATATGATTAAGAATGCAGATGTTCATGCTATTGTTTTAAGTTTCTCTGTGCTACTGACTGATCTGTACCATGGGGATAGCAGTACTTCCACTTTTCATGTTAAGTGCTAAGAGAAAAAAATTTACTAAAGGATATGACAAAAAACTGAAAGTACATACATGAGTGTCTCAGTCTTGATGCTGGTTAATAATAAGAACTTGTTTAAACCTTTGTTCTGTCCCGCAAAGAGCACTGAAAATAGCACAACAAGGTATTCTGATTAAACAGGCATGACAAAATAATTTAAAATAAGTGCTAATCCACATCCAGCTGCATATAAAATTCAAGTGTAAGCTCAATTAGAGGAAGGAAAAAAACAGCATGATTTTTAGTAAACCTTGAAGCAAAGGTGTTCTGCAACCTTAAGTTAAAATATGTAAAGAAACTATTTTATCTGAGGTGGTCTTCAAGTTGTTTTGATGAATAAAACTGTATCTGGGGTGTGGCCTGAGCCCTTTGTGGGCAGGTGAGGCAGATGTGGCTCGCTCTTATCTGAAGCTAAGCAGCTGTTTGCAGCATGTTTACATGACTCGCAGAAACATGGTGTCACAATCTGTGGTTGACCTAGGGTTTTTCTTCGATAACCAGAAACAGATGTTCATAATATTTAAGTACCAACTACAACTCTTGGTTATCTGATAAAGTATTGCTCGGGGGCAACATGGTGACATTTTTCTACTTACGTGCATTTTTCTGGTTTTATTTTGTACTGTAGTCTTTATACTACACAACTATTATATAATGGCAAACTCTCCCCCATCTGCCTCAGAATTGTGTGGATTAAGGGAAGAAAATAAATCACTTAGACTTTCAAGGTTACAAAGAAATTTATATTTTTAGACATTGCCAAGAACACTGAAATATGACCTCCCAACACTTTTCTTGGGAAAATCATTCCTTTTAAGCAAGGCAGTGCCAGAAATCCTTGCTGCTGGGGCATCTGGACTTGTCTGGACCACAGCAGTGAGGGAAAGACCCTGAAGTGCATCCTCAGTACCCAGGAAGCTGGGCTAGCTCACCAGCAACCACATTATGGAAACAGAAACAGACTAAGTGATTACCTAGTCCACACTCTGCCCTCACTGAAGATGTGCCTTTATCTACATCACCCCCAGCCCATATTTATCTAATATATTCCTAACTACCTCCCATGGCGAGGACTCAGCAAACTCCCCACGAAGTCTATGTCAGTGCTTCCCTAGCCTTACCAGCAGCACAATATTCCTAGTGCTAGCTTGGATCTTTCCCACAGCAACTGAAGCCTGTCCTTGTTCCTTACACCTTGCCTGTGGAGGACAGACTATTTCTTACTCTTGGCAATAGCCTTCATTTACCTGAGGCTAAGAAGCCATCCAACGTTTTTTTAAACTTTTATTTTTTAACCGGACAGGTCATGTGTTGTAGATCTCTGACCCCTCTTGTTACTCTCCTGCAGACCTTCTCTGACTGATTCACACAGGTCTTTAAACAACTTGGTTTTTCAATTATTCTACTCTAACCCTGGCAAGTCCTCACGCTGCTTTGCACTCCCCAGTTGGAAGGCAGAAGGCAGCTCTCAACCTTTGAAATCACCAAGGACTGCGACCTAGGTAAAGCATACTTCTTGCCAGCTAATGCTGCTTTCCTTAAAGAGGTTTTCTTAAAACTCCCTTTCAGTCAGACTAAAGCCAAACCCAACGCAGGTGCAAACATTTGCAGTCCCCCCTGCCTCCTCAGGAGGCCAACAGGAGCTGTAGCCATCTACAAGGGCAGGCTGTGACCTTGTGTTACCACACAGTTTGTTCTTGTTTTGTTTTGTTTTTTAATTAAACAACACTAAAAATACTCCTGTCCCAAAGGAGTAGTGCTTTCCAACTCTCTGCTTGCCTCTAGCGCTGAAACAGGTACTTAAGACCAAACTGTGTTTGTATGTCTGAGTAAGGGAAAAATGAATAGTTTAATTTGATTAAT